GCAAATATCTGAATAATTATCTGTAAGCACTTATTCTTACATTTCAAACTCTGTCAGTCAGTAATCATCTGTTATGACTGAAAGAACTAGAAACTTATATACTTCAATCTCTGTGAACTTTACTGCAGATACTCAGAAGCAGTCATCTGAATTATAAATAATCTCTATAAAAGAAGTTTCAGACAACTTATTAATTACTTATAAAATATCATTCTCTACATCTACAACAGAAGAACTCTCTAAACTGATGAATAAATCAATCTCAGTGAAGAATATTCTTGAGCATCTTCTATAAGACTAAGCTATTTTTCTATAAGAAATACTTTCTATCTATAAATACTCTTGAATCAAGTCTCTAGACATAATCTTCAGAGACACTTATAAATTAAAAAGAAACTTTCTTAAGCTATAACTACTTAAGATTACTTACTGAATCACAATTTATAAAAGCTTTTATAAGTTTGTATTTAAAATTAACTTACAAGCTCAGCTGTATAATATAAAAGATGAAGAAGCTGTTATCTATATAATAACAGATCTCTACTATACTAAAGATAAGAACTAACTGAATTATCTAGAGAATAATTATAAGAGATCTTATTAATCTATTCTCAAGATTTATCTAGAGAATAAGTTAAGAGACTTTACAAGCTGAACAGAGAATATCTGAGCTGTAATCATCAATATTAGAAAAAAAGATAAGAAATCTGATAAAGACTACTCACAGTGCTTCATAGAATTATGATATAAATTAAGATCTGTGAAAACAGAGCTCTGAAACAAGATCTGAATGATAATATTTATAAAGAGACTGAATAAAGATATGTAGAATAAACTCATTGAGTAAGACTCTAAGTTCTTAACTCTGAAGAAACTGATGACTCTCATTTATTACTTATAAATCACTATAAGAGTTATAGACTTACAGAGAGTGAATTATTGATCAGCTCTATAAGAATCAGAATAACAGAGAATATATTTACTGAGAAAAGATAATAAAATATAGAGAGATTTATATCTGACTGTTAAGCAGAGAGAGAGAGCTTTATAAGCTTCTATAAACAGAGTATATAATAAAGAGATTAAGAAAAAGAATCTCTACTTCATCTATTTTAAATTAGAATATCTTCATACAAACTATCTGAATCAATTAAAATAGAAATTTAAGAAGTTATAGACAGAGTCAGTAACAGTCTTCTTAAGAGTCTTAAAGCTGACATCTGAATCTGTTACTCTTTCAATAAAAATACATACTTATAAGAAGAGATCATACTGCAGTACTGCTGTCTCATTAGTATAAGAAGTATTAAAAACTCAGAATCTCAGATTACAGTAGTATCTCTAAAGCTTACAGAGTAAATAAACTGAGTGATGAAAACTGAGAATCTACTCTTATAATAAGCAGAATACAAGAACTCAGACCTGAGAGCTGAGAAACTTATAAAAGTTATCTTTGAATTACAAGATCTCTCTGAAATCTGAAGAAGATTTATAAAAACTGTGATTATCACAGATATCACTGATAATATGTACTTAAGACTTATATAACTTTAAAGACACAATCTGTATATAGCTGTCTATGAGTCAGGTTTATACTTTCAATCAGTGTTAACAGACTCACTTACAGAGATAGAATCAGTTAATACTAGACTGACCGGCGGGATCATGAATTTCACATTTGGTCTCATTTAGTCTGATCTCATACATTTCTTGACGTGAGTCCCATCAGGATCAAGACTCAAAAAAATCTGAAAATGAATCATTTCTGAGAGAAATGATGTGAAAAATGACCAGATTTAATTCAAGAACAGTGAAAGAGAAGTAATTTCTCAGAATAAACTGTGAAAAATGATCATTCTTTCAAAATCAGAATGAGACTGAGACTGAAGATCAAAATCAGTCTTATTCAGTTCATTCAGTAATTGCTTATATAATCAGAATTTGATAATGATTATTGATAATACTCATGAAACAACTAAATACATTCTTGTACAAGTTTATTCTTCACTTTCTTATAAAAACTACACTTCTCTGATATACTGTGATCAGAGGTATTAAACTGTCTGATAATTTTATATTTTATAATCATGAGTTTCTTGATTATTTCTTCTTGTAATTGTTCTCAGTAATAGTGATAAATATCTCAACTTGAGTTAAACTTTCACTTCATTCTCACCTCTATCAATGAAATTGTCAGAATATCACATGTCATCAGTGTAACAGTTGAATATATACTCTCAACAATTTTCTATAACTCTAGAATTAATTTGATGTGTAAATTTATCAGATTATCTTGAAGATAGTGATTAAATTCAGTTTTACAAGTATGTAGTTTTATCTGATTTTCAGTTGTAATTAATGTATGTAAGTTCTGTTTCAAAGTGAGTATTATAGTTCTATATAATATAAAGTGTTATCAAAGATTGTTACTTACTAGAGAATTGTATTTCACTGTCTTCATATCTTGAACATCTGCTCATTCAAATCTCTGATAGTTGATATTGTAGTAGTCTCAGACTAATTTAATATATAAGTCTCATTTCTCCTCTGTTCAATCTTGAGAAGTGTAGATATTAACTCAATGAAAGAAATCTAGTAGTGCTGCTATAGTATAGTACTCTGTAAAAGATTGTTCAGTTTTACTGTAGTAATATATCAGTTTATTTCTTACAGTAATAATAGTCTGTGCTATAGTCTTATCTCAGACTGAATTTCTTTTTGAGTGATTTAACTGCTTCTCAAGATGAGTAAATAAACTGTTATATACTCATCAGACTGACTGGAGCATTGATGTATGAGTGATTAAGACTGTCTTTATTATCTTATAAAACTGAAACAGTAAATCAATTATATATTTCAACTGAGTTCACTTTATATCAGAAAGTTTTAATATCTGAATCTTTTTCTAATCAGAGTGTTATACTTAATGATCAATTATCTGATACTATTGAAGAGTCTGAACAGTTATCTTATATATTGAACTTCACTGTATTTTAATATTCTGTATCATATTCAGTGATATGACTGATTTATTTATTTATTAAATATCATGAAATTGTTATTATTATTTAGAGAAGATACAAATCACATTAGCAATGTTTTAAATCTGTGATATTTAAATTATTAGCTAATCTATTCAAGATTAACAGTAGTGTTATCAAAAAGTGTTACTAAAAAGTAATATTAAAAAGTGTTGTCAAAAAATATTATCTTTTATAAAGTGAATGTAAAAGTTACTTAAGTAATCACTTTCATCTCATTCTCATTTCAAGAATCAGTCATCTTATTATTCTTTATCTTAATGTTAAGATTCTTTATCAGTGTTTATATCACAAGATAAATCACATGAGCAATGCAGAGAATATGACCTTGTTTATTATTTCAGAAATACAAAGCTAATTTTTGCTTCAAGCTCTCTATTATAGTGTAGTTATTTACAGCATTGTCAGTTATAATTGTAAGAAGACTAAGACTAATATCTCAATAGTCATTTTTAATCACAGTCATTAATATCTCTATTATATAATCTCTAGTATGACTACTGATCAAAGATTCAAATTCAATTAATATCTCTTAATAAGTTCAGTTCTTATCAATGTAATAACATATAACTCTTATAAATATAAGATTGTTTGTACTAGTTCATGCATTCACTGTGAGAGACACTTTTCAATGATTCTTCAACTGTGATTCTAGATATTGTATATTAACATTGTAGTATGTCTCAAGATTGAACTGAAGATAGAATCAATGTGAAATACAAAGATTTGAATTAGGCATTTGAAGAAGTGTTTGAAATTCAGAGTTTTCAATTAATTGAAGAGAAAGATTCAGAGATATACATATATAAAGTAATTATTCATGAAAGTTATTAGATAAGAGTTATGAAATCAGAGTACTGATATGTAATTGTTTTCACATGATTTTCTTCAAATTAGAAAGTTAGTGTTATTAAAAAGTGTTATCTGATAGAGTAATCTATCAACTCAGTAGTAATTTTCTGATTATTTTTCTTTTATTATCTGCATTCTGATAACTTCAGATGTCAGAAAATTTCTTCAGAGTTATAATCAGTTCATAATAAATGTTTCTGAATAAAGTTACAGTGATTGTAGTAGAGAGATGACTCTTCAGTAATCTATAATACAATCTATTAATAATTATTTCATAGTTCATCTCAGTGTTTGTGTTGAGTTTTTAATAAATTTCATGACCTGAAATCAGATGTGAAGAATGAAGTGATTATTCATTATAATTAAAAGAGAGCATTCTGTGTTAAATTGTAAATAATATAGACTTTGTAATTTACAGTGATTTCTTGAAGAGTTTATGAATCTTCAATAGAAGTAAAAGAAGTGAAAGAAGTGAATTCAGAAGATATAATAATAATTTAAGAAAGATAATAATTTATTTTCAATAACTGATCACTGATGTGTGTAAGAAGAATTAATATAAGAGAAAATAATCTTGTTTCTTAGCTTAGTTATAATTTTAGTACTAACTCAGATTGAATATCATCAATGTATAAAAGTAAATAAATAATCTTGATTAATCTCTATCATATTTCTTGAAATATATTAATATTGTGAAACAGAGTGTTATCAAATTGTATTATCAGATAATATCATTAAAAATATATTAAGATTGTGAATATCAATATTGAAAAAATGTTGATACTTATACATTTTAGTGATTTGTGAATCATAATAGTTAAATATATATATATATATATATTATTCCTGACTTGATTACAACTTGTACATAATTTTTAAAAACTCAAAATTAATTTCATTATTATATATGACTTATACTAACTAATATAAAATAAAAAAGAAAAAAAACTTTTTCTACTCATCATCTTTCTTCTCTTTCTCATTCTTCTTATTATTCTTTATAATTCACTTCTCATTCTTCTTCTTCTTCTTCTTCTTCTTCTTCTTCTTATCTGAGATAATAATTATCTCAAAATCTCTCTTCACTGTCTTCTTAGAGAAGAGTTCTTACTGCTTTCTCTCAGTCAGGTCAATCTGCATCTCAAAATCCAGCATTTTCTGATCTGCTGTCTCAGGTTTCATCTCAGTAGTAAGCAGATTGACATACTCAGAGAGCAGAGCTGTCTTCTCAATATTCTGAATCATGAAGTGCATTTGAGACTTGAATAAGATCTTAATCTTCTTCTTCTCTGTCATCGTCTGCTAATTAATTAGAGAATAGAAGTGTTATTAAAAATCATTATCTCTCAATAAATAAAAAACTTATCAGTTTTAACTTCTTTATCTTCTACTTTAACACTCTCTCAATCTTCTTCTACTATTACTTATTTATAGTAATACTCTTCTTCTCTCTTTCTCTCTTCATCTTGATCTTAAATTATTCTCAGAACTTCTTCTGATCTTACTACTACTATATGAGACTCTTCACTGTCTTCTTCTTCAATCTCTCACAGATAGTGTCATTTGCATTATTTCTATACTTAGTTCAGTCTAAATCTATCAGAAGTATTACTTAAAATCATTATTATTCTACTTTCTTACAGAGTCTCTTCAAGGTATTATAATATATCTTACAATCTGTCTTCTCTTACTTGAATGTCTTCTTCTTCTCTTTCTTCAATCTGTGATAGTGCTCACACGCCTTGATAATCCACAGGAGTGCAGAATATTTGAAGAGAGATGACATGATTAATTTCAGTGAGTGTTGAAGAAGAATGAAGATAGAAGAGATGATTAAAAATGATATAATAATAGTGATAATAATAATGATAATAATGATAATAGTGATAGTGATAGTGATAATAATGATAATAATAATGATAATGATGATAATGAAAGAGAAAGTGCATTGAAATATATTACTGACTTATCAAATATAAAGAGACTTAAAGAAAATATTAATAGCTTTCAGAGATGTATAGAAACAGCTACAGTATTGTATAGTAATATCATCTTTATTCAATACATGCACTGTTGATATTCTTTGTATACAGTTATTATATAATCTGTATCAGAGATATATGCAGAAAACAGATTTTTATTGCTAGAATAAATACTTACAGCAATTCTCTGTTTTTATATTATAAAGATAAGTTATTCTCATTTCTTTCTTCTCTCTTTTCTCTTCTTCAATCAATCACTAATTTCAAGCTGATATGAAAACTATTAAAACACTCTCAGAAACTCTCAAATTGAAGAGTATAAACTAATTAAATTTCAAATGCAGAAGAAACTAAATTATCTTCTATAGATTCAATTATTTACTCTCTCTTAAATAAAACAGCAGTTGTGTCCTCTTCTCTCTTCAATCAAATGAAACATGGCCTGTGAAAAGTGAGTATCATACCAGGTTATAATAATCAACACGGCCTCAGCACACAGGGCTGCATATACACAGTATATACTGAACTGAGAGACTGTGTGAGTTATAAATCAGCAGCAGCATTTCAGGAAGAGTCATGCAGTGTGAGAAAGCTGCAACTCTCAGTCACATGTATAGAGAGTGAATTATCACAGTAAGTATATGTGTATTGAAGTAACACTTTTTAATAACACTCAGTCTCTGATATAATGAAAATAGAGTCTCTTTATGAGATCTGTTTTTATCAGAAGTCAGGAAATCTTATATTCTTCAAGATCATCTTCACACATCTTGTCTGTGAAATCAATGAAGAAAATCATTGATTTCAGTATTCTGTTCTTGATGCTATTCAAGTAGCAGCAGAGTTCACTCTGATCACACTTTTTAAGTGTATATTTTCTAATTAGTCACATTTATACAGATATATACTGATTATTTATTAGATAATGTTAAGATAATAACTCATTATAACTGTATTACTCTGACTGTGAGAGATACACAGTTAATGATGAATATTATAAAGACTCTGAGAAGTGAGTATTTTAGAGATACTGCAGCTCTGTGATCTTGATTTATTTTTATTTTTATTTTTTATTTTTTTCTTTTTCTGTTATTTTTTTTTTCTTTCTCTTTCTTTATCTTTTTTTCTTTCTCTTCTTTTTTTCTTTCTCTTTTTTTTTTTTATTGTGATTTTTTCTTATTATTGCTTTATTTTTTATTTTTTTATTTTTTTTTGTATTTTATATTTTTTTTTAATTAAAATGATATTAATTATGATCTGTGTTTAGAAAAGTAATAATATTGAATAATACTCTCTATTGAATTTTCAACAAATGAGCACT